GGTACTGGTACCAACACCTGTAAAATGTCTATCGTTTTTAAAACATTGGAGTCAATAAAATTGTACTAAATCTTGTCTCTCTAAAAATCATTTTAGATATAACATTGAAAACTATGTCTTTATTCATTAATCTTCTTGGCTCGTACATATTGTACCTGTTGTGATCACTGATTACGTTTTTTATATTTATTAAAAGAAATCTTTTATTATCGTAAGCAAACATGCTTTAATGTCCCTATTCTTTTTGTATTAATTTCTGATTATTCAAGGAAATAAAAAACAGCCTCAACGTACACTTATGAAGCTATGGTCGATCGTATGTGTATATCTTAGTTATCGAAGTCATATTCAATATTTTGATGTCAGCTTTTTTATATAAAATCAAATTTTGATAAATATCGGATGAAAAATTACATCAGTAATACGGCATTAGGTATTTAAAAAAAATTACTACAATAACAAAACAAATATCTATATATATCTCACGTGAGAAAACTTCATTATAGTGACTGTCGTTGGTCGTCGTCTGCCTTGTTTTTCACTTAATGTTGTTGGCATAAATCAGGTCGTCTGTTTTCTCTTTGTATTTGTTTTATCATTTTGTTTTCCAGGTTTTTTACCTCTGACTTTTCGGTGTGTGTTTTTCTAATTATTTTAAGGCCGTATTGTGAACTATATTTGTCTGTCCCTTAGTCTATTGGTCTAATAGTTGTTTCAATAACTATCGTACCATATATCTTCTTTTTTAATACAATCTGATTGAAATACAGATCCTGTGTCCACGCTTTGCTAACAAGAATGTGACAACACTGCTTTCTACTTTCAAATTTTTCAAGTCGTGTATCAATAGAACAAAACCAGTGGATCCCTTAAAGTATCAAAAACAGAAAACTGAACGGAGTATTGTCAGATAAGCGGAGCGTGGACGTATGAGCTTATTTTAATCAGATTAGTTTATATCTGTCTACATAAATAACCTTAGCTTTTCCTTGTGTTAACTGGCTGACCATTAAAGTCCAAGTACCGTTTCGAACTCTATACACATCAGCCATATATCCTGTTTAAAATACAAATGTTTTAAATAAATTTGCAAAACGAAATAAATATTACTATATTTTACCAACCCATAAGAACAATTCTAGCAACTTTGGTCTGACCATAAAAGATATTAGGAACAAGACTGCAGTCCAGTGTTGTTTGAAGTTTAATTTGTGAAAACATGTAGTTACGATATATAATATATTAATTTGTCCTTGTGTGGTCAAACCATTGCTGTAAACGGTACAAATAAAGCTTACGATTAATAATTATCGAGTTAAACTGCATAAATAATATCTTTCAGAATTGTAAGAGAATCCAACCGCTACTTTTACTCACCATAATGATGTGTATGAACTTGAACCGCAAATGCAACAGCGTCTGGCTTACTCCAACGGCATGCCACTTCAGCAAAATATCCTATATTTTAAAAATAATATATATGGAATAGAAAAGAAAGGATATGGGGTATCCATCCATGACACAAAATCAGCATATGCACAGCAAAAAAAACACAAAAAGCAAAGGAACAGCACTTGTATTGCTGTTATTCATGTCAAAGTCATAGTAAGGCCTTCGAATCAACACGGAGCAAAACAAATTCCCAACTCACTATAAGTTTAGGACGATCCCTAACACCGGTTTCAGCGGAATTCTTTGTAAACTGACGATCACGCCGCAACTGTGAATTGGAGAACAAAGCTATGGAGTAATATCAATTAAATAAATATGGCAAAGAAATCAAACATCTTCCTTTATGTATCATTTATCAATATGTCATAGTTTTATTTGAAGGAAAAAACTGCAAATATCTGTGATCATGAACTACCTTAGTAGAAATTATTACCAAAATATTACTGACTGATAATCAATCACAACAGATAAGTCGTCATGTATAATGATATTTTTAGTTAGTACTAATATAATCTATGTTAACAGTTTTAAATGTTTTAACATACATTCTGTCATCCTAAAAGTTAGTTATGCGTGTGAACTTTTTAAACTAAGAACTCCTTTAGTCAAATACTGCTTCTTTTTATCTTATATGAAAATATAAAAATTCAAATTGGTTATGGATACTTATATGTAAATACGTTAATCCCATCTATCTACTTACGTACACCCAATATGCGTTTCAGTTCAGTTTATCACCTCTAAATAATACACATTTTTTTATCTTGTGTATCATGCACTTATTTTTGTAAAGTAAGACACATTCTGAACTTTTGAATATATTTGGGTGTGGGTATTTTTATTGTTACTTTTTCAATAGGTGTACATAGATTTCAACACTTTACCCACAATTAATGGAGGATAATACAAGTAACTGAGCTGGTTGACACTAAAGGGGAAAGGCGAAACATTTTTGCCATAACGAATACAATTGCACAGAGTTAATTAAAATATTGTAGCAATAATAGACACAAATGAATGAATATGAGCAGCAAAGTAAAACAAATCACAATCAAAAGGAAATTATTACTTTTCCTTTACACTGTAACAACGATGAATAAAACTTACCCTTTTCTTTGTTGGCGGGAATAAATCCGTCAGTCAGCAGTAAATGACTTTGATAGTTGTATTTCGTGCTGAGTGATAGAAAAATACGTTTACATAAAAGTGAAGGAATTCTTCGTAAGAAAAGGGTATTAATAGAAATCTCTCTTCATACCCTTTTTGTTTACAACTAAAAATGGATTAGCCAAGAACATTCTGCAATTCGATTTTGCATCATGGCTAATTACTGGATACAAAATTCAACTACGCAAAGCCCCAAACCTATCATATTTGTGTTTCGTTTATTGTTATGTACATAAATCAGGCTGTTAATTTTCTTGTTTGACCTATTTTACATTTGTTATTTCGGCCCCTTTATAGTTTACTTTGTAGTATGGGTTTCTCTCTTTGTTGAAGGTCGTAGGGTGACCGTTAGTTCTACCTCATTTGATCTCTGGTGGAGAATGGTCTCATTGGCAATCATACCACATTTTCTTATTTCTATATTATAATGCTATAATTGAAAATTGAAATTTTCATGAGATGCACAGGTTGACTATCAGCAAAAAGAGTCGCGTCTTAAAACGAATTAAAGTACTTACGGAGTTTTGATAAATGTTAACGTTACATTGATTAATGGATAACGAACATCTGAAATATAAAAGATAATTGGTCAAACATTATGAAATCATTGATCATTCATTATACCTTGAATATGTATTATTTCCATTTAGTAGTTTAAATTTACTGTAAGCGTTTTATGTATAAAAAAAATTTTTTGTGATATGAAATTTTCCACAACGGTTCACACCGGATATCCCGATTCTAAATCTGCGAAAGGATCCGAATCCGGAGGAGCAATTACACGAACAATACAAACGGTGAGTAAATTAAATCTAGATTCGATTCCTACAGAGGATTTAGCCAGATTTTACCTACCCAACGTCAGTATGTTTCGTGTAATTGCTCCTCGGGGGTTCAGATCACTCCGCGAATTTCGGATCGGGATACCCGGTGTGATAATTACATTTTTCGTGCTTACGAAACATTTAACAGGTTTCTACAAATAAATCGTTCATAAAATACAATTATTCGTTAATTGATATAAAGTTCTAAAAAAAATGTACTAAACAAATTTTTTTAGTAGATTTTTCTCTTTTTTTCACATTTTTTTTTTTTAGATTTACTGCAGACCTTTCAGGAACGCCATATAAAATATCATAAAATAAACTTTAATACCCATAACTGCTGCTTTAGTGTGCATCTCAAAAGTAATATGCCTCATTATTGTTGAAAATCCGACTTTAAGTGATACGTCTAAAAAGAAAGACAGAAATATATTTTTTGTATGATAGCACTATAAATAAAAATGAATAAAAGAACAGATAAACACGTATTCAATGGAATGTATGTAAATATCTGTATACAGCAAACAGCTGAAGTCAATATACAAATGCATTGGCATCAATAAGGATAGTAATCACACAAAATACAAAAGGCGCAGTAAGAGCAGTGACGTCGAATATCAAAGCTTTATAATTATACAAGCAGAAAATCTATCAATTATGATACTAAGTAACGGAAAACCGACAACATTGCCCTAAGGGTAAACAATATTAATAATTCAAAGCACTATCTGTGAGTTCAAGAATGCTGTATTTGGATCCAATATAATAATTTCTTCGATCTTCAACTAGGTTGACATTTCTATCGATTTGATATGTTTTACGTCACGAGTAACCTGAAGACTGTTATTCAAAAGGTGAAATGCTTTTTCATATTAGAATTTGATCGTGAAAGTTTAAATAGAAATTTTGAAATAATAGGATTATGTGTACTTAACGTCTATCAGTCTTATCAATACCGATAATTAAAAGTCACATATTTTGTTGTAAAAAATCGCATGAATATTGGTTAAAGGAAGACAAACATCAAATGAAATACTAAGACCTCTTCAACATATTTAATATTGATTTTCTTCCTATCGAAACCCATAAGAAGAGTTTCAACGATACTTAGTACACTATAAAACATTAAGATGTTCCCCGATGTAGTTGGAAAACTTACAAATTATTTTAATTGATAAAGTGTCTCGTATCCTCTCGGTTAAAGTTGTACATTATTGGAAGTTCATCAGTGATCATAAGCCTGTCAACACTGAGGTTGTGAGCTCGACAGGTGCGTTCGATTGGGAACCTACTCTTCCTCCACTAATAAAAAAATTGCAGTTATGATATGGCCAAGAGTGGTGAAAGTAGCGTTTAATATCTACAATCAATCAATATATGGTAAAGATGACAGTTTTATTCGTTATATAGTAATGTCATTTTGGATATTATTACTACATTGCTTTATATTTGTCATCCGAAACTTTTATCAACAATGTGCCGGTTGAGGGTTCCAGGAACACATTTCGTTCACACATAAATATGGATAATATGTTTTTAAAATAAGCTTTAATTTACCTTTAGGAAACCTCATTAAACCATTTTCGGGTTTGAAGTAGTCATCAAAAAAATAAACGCCTACTGCACCTCCTTTACAATATTTTCTACTCTTCGAACATTCCCTACAATAATATATGAAATATGTCATACAAGGCTTCCTTTTTTGTAATAAGAATCGATGTACAATTACCGATGTTATATACTAGGCGCCGTTTCTACAAAGTTGTCCATTCTGGGTAATATTTAAAAACGTACACCAAAAAGTTGTCATTATAAGAACGACATTCTAAGCAATGGATAACTAATTAAAAATATAATGCACTTACATTTTTTTCTTTCGAAGAATGAAATTACCCGTATTCCTTTTAAGTTTATATAAATTGCGATTATTCATATTTGAATTCATTTTGTAAAAAAATAAAACAATATCTATGCAACAGTTTATGCAGAACGTATCAAAGCTTTAGCTTAGAATATAAGTCCGTTATTGCATTTAGTGTACATAATTTTCTATGTTATATTTCATGCAGAAAGTATTAAACCAATAGCGTAGACTGTTATTGGATTTAATGTTATATCGCTTGAAAATTACAACTTCATCTGTAGATTATATGTTGTGATTTTTTATTCTAAAGTTTAACTATTTAATAATTGGTACGCACATGTATCAAATAGCCTTCGTATAAATAAATATCAATTGTACTTGCAAGCTAGTGAAATATTTGTGCTTATTCATGTAGTGTACGTACATTGACACAAAATGTTAATTTTAGACGCAAATGCATTGTATGATTTTGTATTTGTTTAATTTTTTCAGAAATGAATATTCAAAAAAGTGTTTCCATGGAGCAATGACTGTTTAAAGGTGTTGTGGTTTTACAATAAATGATTGATTGTTGGTTTCTTAACGTCCAGTGGCAAATATTTCCTGCATATTCAGGACGATGGTTTTACAATAATACTTGTATCTATGTTTAAAGGATGATAGAAAAGCAGGAACAATAGAATTCTCTCGGCTCATCGATTCATAGTCTTTCGGAAATTCACGCAATTTTACTCATGACATATCATTTATTTCATAGTTAAAAGGGTTTCTTTGTAAAGTGCATGGATATATATTCCGTATTAGAAAGATATTCAGACTGTAACATCTTACCATGGTTGATGACTTGCAAAATCTTCAGGTTCTTCACAAAAACCTAAATCAGCATGATGAACAAAGTCGTGATTAATTTCAATTAAGGTGCTCACTGCAAAGTAATAAAAATTAAAAAGTATAATTATATTTAAAACATGGCAGTTTATTTGAATTTCTACTGAGACTTAACTCGGTCTCAGAATAGTAATAAGATATATAGAGAACATAGGGGCCAATATCTACATGCTTTTCTTATATAAATCAAAACTAAGGTTGCAATCCTTTTAAGTAAAGTTGACAGTATACTTTCTAAAGTATTTGCTCGAAAAGGACCATTTCAGATATTTGTTCTCTAGCGTTATATATTTTGACTCCCAAAAGTTTTGTTCACGGGTTCACCTGATCTATTTCTAGGAACATGGCAAGCATCCACAGTAATATGTTTGAAAGGTGAACACATTTATTTTGTAGAAACTAAATACAGATTTACTCATTTCTTAAAAAGGAGTGTAGGACCTTTTTTTTTGGCAACACTCATTTTTGTCAATTATCTAAAACATTCTGGACATCTATATTGTTCAAATACTTACAAACATATACTTCATCAAGTTCTTCCAAATATCTTGTGTAGCAATTATACTGGTCGGGCTTGAAAAAAGATGAATTTATGCAGTTACTCTTTATAGACATAAAAAAGATTGTCGATCGACAAAAAAAACGTTATATATACAAATCAATGCGCCTTACTAAGTATGTTAATATTGTAATATATGGACAACAAATAAATAAATTAATAAAACATTGTCCATCTAAATACTTAAAACGAAGATATTCTATCTTTACTAAACTATCCTTTATGACAACACGATCAAAGTGTCTATACACATCATTTATAACGTTAAACCTATTTACGCATTTGTAAGTATGATGAAAGGAGATTCGAGATCCACACGAATAAGACACACGTCACAGATACTTGTCTCTGAAAAAAATACCTATATTAAAGTATATACTAGGGTTTTTTTTCAGAGACAAATGTCTTTGGAAGAGAAAAACAATCAAAATCGCAATATAATTTTAAAAGATAACTTGTAAATTGCAAACTATTGATGAACCACATATTGATTATAAATATGCTATCGCGCTTTTGAATATAAGAATGTCGAAAATTGTTACTCTTTAGGTTACATTCTACCGGCAACTTTTTTACCCTTAAAGATGATACTCAGAATAAAATCGTATGCGACTCCAGATTGGATGATACAGGGTTAAAATTATTTTAAATCGAAAGCTTATTCATTTAGGTTAAAAAATTCAAATCTAACAAAGTGTTGAAATAATATTCAATACATTTACAAAGAAGTCAGGAAAAATTTGCTTTTCACATAAAATGAAAAAAGACGTGTATTTCTTCAAATGCATTTTAACTTTTACCGAATGGTCATATACTTTTTTTGTCTCTAATACAACGCTGACATTTCTACCAACAGGAACTGCTACCAATTTTTCTAGTTTATTTATTCTTCAAGAAATAAAATATAGAATACTACTGGTACCCTATGGAAAATGCATTACAAATTATTGCGCTCTTGTAATCATTTACATCTAGCTACAGGCTGAGCTTTATATACCCAGATTCGGCTTTTGAATAAGTACATGCTTTGTAATTTCGTTAAGTTTACTCTAACACAATTATTTGGAGACACCTATAAATGAGGGTCTGGATGGGGTACACATAATAGAGAGAATAATGGGCATAAAGTGCAGTATAAAAGGCGCTATATATAAAGAATAAAATTTTAGATAATAAAACCTCAAATTATTTGCAAGAGCTATTGCCTGGCTATGTCAGTGGTCGACACGATCACAATACAAGACAAAGTCATAATCTATTAGAGGTCAAATCACGTACAAAACTTTATTCAGATTACTACCTTCCGTCATCCATCAAATTATGGAATCATTTACCGTTACATGTAAGTGTTAGAAATTGTGAATCTCTCTCTGTATTTAAGAAACAAATTTGTAATCAGAATGATCGCGTCCCTTTATACTTTTATGCTGGATGTCGAAAAGTCCAAATTCTTCACGCGCGACTAAGAATGGATAGTAGTTCTTTAAACTGTCACTTGTTTCCAAGAAACTTAGTTTCTTCCCCTAAATTTCGCTGTGGTGACTTAGAAACTAGTTCACATTTTTTATTGTTTTGCCCATTATATTCGGACATAAGACAAGAACTGATAATATCCTTTGGAAGCCTAAAATTAACGATACAAATGGACAACGAATTTCTATTAAATGGCTCAAATACGATTTCAAATGAAGAAAACATTAGTTTATTTCTCATGGTACAAAGGTTCATTATTATCTAAAAGGTTTTCAAATTAATAACTTACACAATAAACCTGTAAGCATTTCGTCTTATCAGTTCACTTTTTCTTTACTTTTCAGTTCATTATGTAACTCAACTGACATTATCAATATTTTTATTATGTAACAGAGCATGTAGTTTTGATTTATTTGTGTATAATGTATTTAATTTATCAAGAAACGTATTAATATAAGCACTTGTTGCTTGTTTCTGAATCCTAATAGTGAATGTGTTTATATTTATACTTGTATTATTCATAATAAAATATTGTTTACACCAAAGAATAGAGAAAAAGAGGGAAAAAAATATTGATTGAGAATAATGGGGTTCTAAAATATAAAGAATAGAGAAAAATGACCTACTAAATTAAAGAATAAAGAAATGAGCCCCCCCCCCCCCCCCCCCCCCAATCCAGACCCTCATAAATATTGCTGCCGACTCCTAATCACCTGACGTAGATACTTCTTGAATATTCCGTTTTCTTTGTCATGTAATGGGGTTTTGGTCTCATTTGATTTGTATTTCTCGAGTGAAAGAAATCAGCACATTTTTATTTAGGGGCCAGCTGAAGCCCGCCTCCGGGTGCGGGATTTTCTCGCTGTGTTGAAGACCCATTGGTGGCCTTCGGCTGTTTTCTGCTCTTTGGTCGGGTTGTTGTCTCTTTGACATATTCCTCATTTCCATTCTCAAATCTATTAAAGTTTTCTTAGTTGTTCACGTTAATTAAGGTAGATGGGGTGTCTAAATTATAATCCATAGAATTTTTTAATAATTTGCCAAAATGTAGTTTATATCATGCTTTTTTAAAAAAAATAATAAAAAGAATGGGTCACGGGGCTTATTTTCACGCTACAGGTTGTGCAAAATTGACAGACTTTGTATAGATTATGCATGGAAAACCCAATTTTCTGCCATAAAACGAAAACTACACCATAGAATTTTGAGATAAAATATGAGAAGATAGCTCAAATATTATGCTTTCAGATAAGAAAAAGAAAAAGAAAAAATGGGGTCACGGGACCCGTTTTCTTGCTACATAATAAAATAGGTAAATTCCTAACACATTCTATTGTAAAAATAACTTTATCTGAATTATCTGCCCTTACATTTGAGTTGCCTCCCCTTATGTGGCAAAGTTGGAAAAAATTGAATCAAACAAAAGTATTCTGTGTTTTGTAAAATACAACCATAAATATGATAAAACATGTCATTTTCTATATTGAAATGAAAATTCTTACACATGAATTACCTACTAATCTCAAAGTTTGCACATTTTCTTAAAGATCTAGACCGATTGTTTTCTGGTATTTCAAAATCCAAGATGGAGGAAGACACCCTATCTACCTTAACATTACGTAGCCGCTTACTTTATTGGATATTTGGAAGTCAGAGTTAAACCGATTGATACACGTACCGTCAAAAAGATATCATACACGTTATACATTAGTCAAATTGATACACTTACCGTCAAAAAAGATGTTATACATTAATCCAATTGATACACGAACCTCAAAGAGATGTCATACACGTTATACATTAAATCGAATAATACACGTATCGTCAAAGAGATGTCATACACGTTATACATTAAACCGATTAATACACGTACCTCAAAGAGATGCCATACACGTTATACATTAAATCGATTAATACACGTATCGTCAAAGAGATTTCATACACGTTATACATTAAACCAATTAATACACGTACCTCAAAGAGATGTAATACAAGTTATACATTAATCCAATTAATACACGTACCGTCAAAGAGCTACATGTCATACACATTATACATTATTCCAATTGATACACGTACCGTCAAAGAAATGTCATACACGTTATACATTAATCCAATTAATACACGTACCGTCAAAGAGATGTCATACACGTTATACACTAAACCGATTAATACACGAACCGTCAAAGTGATATCATACACGTTATACATTAATCCAATTGATTCACGTACCGTAAAAGAGATGTGACAGTCGTACACGTTATACATTAAACCGATTAATACACGTACCGTCAAAGAGATGCCATACACGTTATACATTAATCGATTAATACACGTACCGTCAAAGAGATGTCACACACATCATACATTAGGAAAAAATAAAACTGATAATCACATCTTAGAATACAAATATGTACCTACTTCATTTATTTTAATAGATGGAAACGGTAACTTCATTTTATAAACTTCCTGTCCATTCTCTCCATAATGAGCTGTTATATATGGTATCTCCCTCACAGCTGTTACTACAAAAAAGTGTAGATACAGTTATTACATTATCGATTTTACTAGTCCTACAATATAACTTAAAGGTTCAGCATTGATAGTAAAAAAACAATATTCGATAAAAAAAAACATTGAAAGCGAACAAAATGGACCTACAAAAGCTTAATTATTATATTATAGGACTACGTTTTTACTATCCTAGGAAAACACAACATTCAGAAACATGTCATCGTAGACAATGGTATGTTTTAAATGCATATCAGCAAAATATTTGATTTTAAAGAAAACGTAATTATAAAATTTCCATAAACGTTACGCCGCTTTCGTGTAAAACTTCGTTTCGTACAACGTGACTAGATTCAGAAACGTTCATCCCATGAAAAAACAGCTATGTAACTTTTTCACCGGACGAATATTTTCACTAGCATTGTATTTAGTAAATATTAAAAAAAAAACGAAATGAACACTTATAAATTTTATGCGTCCAAAGCGCTTTTCTGGATTATCTTATAAAGCTTGATTTGAAAATAAAATTATTCATTCTTATATTTTCTTACCTGCTGTAGTTAAAATAAGAAGTAAAATACCCAATTCAATCATATTTGGAAAGTCTGACAAAAACTCTAGTTTAACCAGTATGAAATGTTTGAAAATATTATTTTCTTTAATGCATTCTGAAGGACGGAATTTCGAGAAAATAGCGTCCTTATGTTGATATGCACAATACAACAAAAAATACAGGATACGAATTACGTTATTACTTACCTTAGATGTAAATGTTAAGAATAGAACATGACAACGTTTAACATCGCCAATGATCAAATTCATCAATGTCAAAACTAACAGAGACTACGAGTACAGAGGGGATACTTTGTTGTATTAGAAAATAGTATATCACTTTCATTTTAGTTTATCATTTTCTTATAGAATCTTTTAAAAAAACGTTTGAGATACAATATATTCATGGTAATAAAAAAAAAGACGCTTCTGAATTAGGTTTTTCTTTTTTTGGAGGGGGGGGGGGGGGGGGGGGGGGGGTGGGGGTGGAGTGGGGGAGTTTGAACTATTTTTAATTTCCTGATAGATTTTGTTTAAAAATGTCTGTGATATAACATATCGAGGACCCTTCTCAATAATGTGTAGCATACCAATTTAAATTTACCCCGGCTCAATGAGTACAAACATATAAAAAAAACAAGCCAAAAACTAAACTAAACATTAGTAATTTCTTAGTTGAAATACCATCATAACAAAAGCACTATACTATAATCATCGACTAACTACATATTTTATGGCCCGATATGATCTCGATGTTGGAATTAAAAAAAGATAACCATGATGCCCTGAACTATATATACTGATTAGATGGGGCTTGTTCATAATTTGCTGCGAATATTGGAGAGTTTCTCTCACCATCAGTGACTACGATGAAAATGACAGTTAAATCTATTTGAACTGTTTGTTTGCTAAATATGAAAGGGGAAAGTACTCAAGGTTATTAATGTTTATACATGTACATAAATTTGTCTACAACATAGCGCGATAACCTTAAATTTTAGATTAATTTACCAATTTCTTACAGCTACACGAAGAAACAAGGATGTCATTAATTGTTTAAAAAAACAGTAAAAAAAAAAGAAAGTCGTAAAATCAAATTATTTTCACAAAAACAACATCAGGCAATAAATCAACACGTGTAATATTTGGTAATATCATACGATAAAATATCACAGAATTAGGTAGTACTAACCACAATGTCTGTAATTAATCATGGTGTTTTTATCCGTATTTTTTTTAGAACTTTTGTTTATATAAGTATAAACTTTACCAATATTGAGCATAATCTACACATCAAGATAAACAGTGCATTGAGGCTGATTTAACACTGTGTTTCTATTCTGTTAACAATGGTTTCCAGATTACTGCTTTGTTTTTGTGCAATTTTGATTTGTAAGTACATTTTTACTTTCTTTTTCTACGATTTTTGCAATAACAAATCAATTACTGATTTAAAGGAAAGTTGATTTAAAAAAAAATATTCTCTTGTAAAATGTCAATTAATTAGAAGGGTCATGGTTTCAAACCCCGGCTGAGTCAAACCAAAGACTTTAGGATTGGCATTTGCTGCTTAAACACGCGCCATTAAGAAGTAAGAGCAAAGACTGGTCGGCTAGGAGTCAAAATAATGAATCCGGGGAGGGTGAAATGCCTTTCTGCGGACTGTTACCCTGTGAACTAGCACGTTAAAAATCCGGCTCAGCTTATCAATATTGTACAAAGCAAGCATCATATTCATAACGCATTAACTTATTTTCGTCCTGAATATGCATTTAATTTGACACTGGACGTTAAACAGCCATCCATTTATCCGGGTCTTCATATATATAGTGATTATATATATACAATCTAAATTGAAAACAACGTTCAAACCTATGATTGCGTTGGATAAAAACCGCAATTTTTATACGTGTGCATGCAAAACAAATTTCTTGGTAGAGGGGTCTAAATACAGCACAAACAACATTTTCCAAAAGACCAAAAAAGTGAAAAAGTATATTTTAACAAAACGCATTTGACTAGCAGGTCGAACAACGGATGTTCTTAAACCCTGCTGACTGCCATTGGCGATTGCCAAATAAACGGATCACTAGATGTAACAAAATGGATCTTAACTACTAATTAAATACCAAACAGAAAACAATAAACTTGCGGAAAAGATTGTATAGCGCAAACAAAAGGTGCAAAAATTAGTACACCATATCCGGATTTCGACAATTAATGTCTCTTCAGTGATGTCAGGAATCGAAACGGTATTTAATATATAGGCCATATAATTTACCTCAATTTAGGATAGAGTCGAAATAGGATGAACGGATCATATAAACCCGAAGGCAAATATAATACATATATGGAGGGAATAATGCGTCTGCGCAATGCTAGGTGGTGTTGTCGTAGAAGTGAGAAGTGAAAAGTACAGTTTCCAGCCCCGCCCGGGGAGGAAGTAAAGAATCAGATCTACTCCAACTTCTTTATGTTCATTTTCTAGGCACTTAATACATATATATATATATATATATCAGCACAGCAATGTTAAATCTGTAAATTTGCGGAAGCAAATTTTTGTTCTACCCTCGCCGGGATTCGAACTCATGCTATTGAGATGTCGCGACAACACCGCCTGCCCTGTGTCCAGCGCTCTTGACCACTCGGCCACCTAGACTGAACTCAAAATTCAGCTTCAGCTTTCGGTGGCCTAGTGTTACCTTTCCTCGTCAGTAGAATCTAGAGTTGTAACACAGTACATGATATATTAGGCATGAAGATTGAATTGATTGCAGATTATCTGAATTATCTATCATAGAGGATCGTAAGATGCAGTCACAGAAATAATCATTTGATAAGTACGTCTAAACAAGTGACAACTCTACGACAGATCCATCCATTACTCTAAATATTAGTACAACAATGATAAATCTACAAATTTGCGGAAGCAAATTTTTGTTCTTCCCTCGCCGGGATTCGAACTCGTGCATATATATTTATATATATATGGTCGAGTGGTTTAGCGCGTCGGATACAGTGCAGGCGATTATATTTCCCTTCGGGTTTATATGATCCGTTCATCCTATTTCGACTCTCCAAAATTCAAGAGTCTATCCTAAATTGAGGTAAATCAAATGGCTTTCCAAATACCGTTTCGATCCCTAACATCACTGAAGAGACATTAATTGTCGAAATCCGGATATGGTGTACAAATGTTTGCACCTCATGTTTGTGGTATACCATCTTTTCCACAAGTTTATTATTTTCTGTTTGGTATTAAATTAATATTAAAGATCCACTTCGTTAGATCTGGTGATCAATTTAGTTGGCAATCGCCAATGGCAGTCAGTAGGGTTTAAGAACATCAGTTGTTCGACCTGTTAGTCAAATGCGTTTTGTTAAAATAGACTTTTTCACCTTTTTTGGTCTTTCGGAAATTGTTGTTTGTGCTGTATTTAGACCCCTCTACCAAGGAATTTGTTTTACATGCACACGTATAAAAATTGCGGTTTTTATCCAACGCAATCATAGGTTTGAATGTTGTTTTCAATTTAGACTTTTATATATTTTTTCGTTTGGGCTTGTATTATATTTTCCTTCGGGTTTATATGATCCGTTCATCCTATTTCGACTCTTTAAAATTCAAGAGTCTATCCTAAATTGAGGTAAATTTTATGGCCTTCCAAATACCGTTTCGATCCCTAACATCACTGAAGAGACATTAATTGTCGAAATCCGGATATGGTGTACAAATGTTTGCACCTCATGTTTGTGGTATACCATCTTTTCCACAAGTTTATTGTTTTCTGTTTGGTATTAAATTAATATTAAAGATCCACTTCGTTAGATCTGGTGATCAATTTAGTTGGCAATCGCCAATGGCAGTCAGCAGGGTTTAAGAACATCCGTTGTTCGACCTGTTAGTCAAATGCGTTTTGTTAAAATATACTTTTTCACTTATTTGGTCTTTTGGAAAATGTTGTTTGTGCTGTATTTAGACCCCTCTACCAAGGAATTTGTTTTGCATGCACACGTATAAAAATTGCGGTTTTTATCCAACGCAATCATAGGTTTGAACGTCGTTATCAATTTAGACTTGTTTATATTTTTTCGTTTGGGCTTGTATTATATTTTCCTTCGGGTTTATATGATCCGTTCATCCTATTTCGACTCTTTAAAATTCAAGAGTCTATCCGAAATTGAGGTAAATTTTATGGCCTTCCAAATACTCTTTCGATCCCTAACATCACTGAAGAGACATTAATTGTCGAAATCCGGATATGGTGTACTAATTTTTGCACCTTTTGTTTGCGGTATACCATCTTTTCCGCAAGTTTATTGTTTTCTGTTTGGTATTAGATTATAAATTTTTAAAGATCCATTTTGTTACATCTTGTGATCCGTTTTTTTTTTGGCAATCGCCAATGGCAGTCAGCAGGGTTTAAGAACATCAGTTG